AAACTCTTTCCCTCAATCCCGACTATTTTTTTCGCACCAGTTTTTAAAAACCGGTGCGTATTTGGCGGTGCCCATTTCAGTATTTTTGTGCGTGCAAATTTTCAATCTTATTAAGCGTTTTATCCACACTTTTAAAAATTCTCACTTTTAGGCGAGAATAAAACTATTCCAATACCCCAAAAATCAAAAAGTGATTAAGCATCCTTTGGCCTGTCTTAACACTTAAAGGTAAGCAATCCAATTGTTAATAGCTCTAAGCTATTCTTGGTTCGATAACACATTATCGCATCTAATGCATTCTTGACATTTAATCCCCATTACCACGACATCAAAGGACTCCACACTGATATCATTGAGCTTAACCAAGACCAACTTGTATACCTAGTATACCTAGGGGCTGTTAGGCACCATGGCTAGCATTGGTCGCATGGCCCTAACAGCGTGCAAAGGCAGGTGCATGCCTTGCGGCTGCCTAGCCATTAGCGCGCGCTAGGCGCTAGCACCATGGTGTTGCTCCGCAGCCCTGGTGTGGCGCATGGTGCTGGGCGGATAGTAGCTTATGCCCGCCGTACTACCGGGCCTGCCTTGGCAACGCTTACCACCGTTTGCGCGCGGGTTGGGTGCTGCCGACCACCAGCATGCACTTGCACGGCTTGTGCTAACCCTCCTTCACCAAAGATGCACGCAACCACACTCTCATGCACACACACCCACGCACCAAGCCTAGGCAGCAACATGCTGGGTTGTGCGAGCAGCCCATGCTAGCCGAGCTTGGTGCTCGAAGCTCAAAGCTTCAATTTTTGTGCTCGTGCTTTGGAATTTTATTCCGAATTTTTGTGTGACTTTAAATTAATTCTAAATTTGATTTTAGAACTAATATTTGAAACATTTTAAAATTAAAACAAGTCTAACTTTATTAAATTTAATTTTAGAGCACAAACCAAAATTTATTCAAGAACCATTCTTTTAATTATTTTTGCTTAACTTGATGCAACAAATATTGAAGGCTAGTCTCATAATTAATTTAATAAACGTATATTAATAATGAGATTTGACAAAATTAGTTGAATATACAATCAATCACCCAATGAAATAATTTATCCAACACTTACTCATGCACATTTGAATATTACAACCTTTCAATATGAAGAATAATATTTCAAGCACAAGTAATATAAGATTTTAATCAACTTCCAAAATGATTAAAACCAAAATTTGTTCATTATGGATTTTAGCAAGTTAAGATTCAACCATTTAAACCATTAAAGATCGAATCTTTAACTCTTTTAGGGCTTCAAAAATCATATTCACCATAAACTTTTACACTACAAGCAATTTATTTGCAAGAATGAGAAATTCCAAGTTTATGTGAAATTAAAAGCTATCTAAATTAAGCAACCAATTTAATTACATCATAAATATGCTTAATAAGGAGTAAAATTGCAAAAGATTAATGGTATAACCAAACACATAATCCAACAATTGCATGCCATAATTAATTAAGGTTTAAAGATTTAAAAATTTTCGTTCCAAATGAACAAGCCCTAAAAAAAACCACTTTCTGGGTGGATTTTGTCTTCTGAAAGGTCATTTTTAAACACTACGTGAATAAAGAATGATTTTGAACTTCGATTCCACCAAAAAAAAAAACTATTTTTGCGTCAAAATCTGGGTTCATAGGCCAAAATTAGCAATAATACGATTTTAATCCATTTAAAAATGAGGTCCTAATCTAAATAGGTTGCTAATCCAGAAATTTAAATCCATTTTAAATCACCTTAATTAATTTTTAGTTGTAAAAATTAAATGCAAGAGGCACTTATACCGCTGTAGGGTTTTGCGGTTTCCAACACCGCGTGGAAACAAAACTCGCAAAAGGATCGCATGCATAATAATTACAACATACCAACATAGCATGCAATCAATGAAAGCATAAACACATAAAGAGAAGAGAGAAAGATTAACTCACCCTTAACGCATGCTTCGCTCGTATCACGAGTTAGGACTCGGAAAACCTCGAGACTTGCAAGTGCAAGCCCTCAAACGCTTCACATCCTCGTGCCTGAATCGGCCCCTATCCCGTAGCTTAGACGGAGCTAGACCAAATAAAACTAAGTTTTACGAACTTAAGGTTATCTCACTCTTTTGGGAGATACCTTTTGAATTCAACTCAAGTGAGTAATCCCATTACGCAAGGTAGGTATTAATAGGGAAATGCTCCCAAAAGTTTCCATCAACTTTCCATGTAGGAGAGTTGTTGAAATGAGAAAATGAATGAATTAATTTAATTCTAAATTATATTAAATAACAGTTCAATTAGCAAACCGCAAGTATCACAAAGAGAGAAAGGGAGTAAGTGAGGACCACAAGGGAGGACCACACCTCCCTTGCTCCCGAAGGGATACCAACGCCATAAGATCAGCTCCACTAACGAAACGCCAGCTGGTGAGTCGCCTTGGCCACCAAGGCTGCCTTACTGTTGACAGGTGCCTTGGCTGGGCCTGCCAGCCGGCCCACGCGGTAGCAGCCCCGCACTAGTAGGCCACGCATTAATGCGGGCCGCTGTGCGCTGCTGGGCGCTACTACTACTAGCAAGCCCTTTTGCTCGCAAGCAAGCCTTGCGCGCTGGTAGGCTGCTGCTTGCTTGCGGCAAGGCTTGCCAGCCTAGCCACGCATTGATGCGTGCTGGTGCTTGCGTGTGAGCGGCTGGGCACACCAGCCCGCAAGCGCTCGGCGAGCAGGCCTAAGCTTGCAACATAGCCATGCCTTGCGGCCGGTGTCTTTAGCTACCCTAGCCCTCGCACGACTAGGCCAATGCGAGGCTACGACTTAGCCTTGACTCGTTGTTTGGCTAATATCTTATCTCATTGATTCCTAAATTCGACTCAACGCTCTAAGCTCGGAATCCGACGTCTTTGTCCGTAAAATCTTTATTGACTTATTTAATCCTTCGGATTAATTCGTCGCCTTTGTTCGATTACACGATTGGGTGTGATCCGAAGGGTTCAGTCAATATTAAGCTGTAATATTAATTATACATTAATATTACTGATCGGAAGCACCCTCCACCTAGGCATTCCGATCACTTCACCTTATTGAATAATTAACTTTCCTAATTAGTTCCGAACCCTCTATCGAAATGATATACTTGTGCAAATGACATCATTCCTTTCATAATCTTGGTCCAATTATTGCTTTGTTATATGGGGTTTGAAAAGAGCTTTCCAACGATATATTATAAGCCCAAATCCGACTTAAAACGAATAAGTTATAGCCAAAATACTAAACCAAGCCCTAACTGAACCTAGGTACACCTTACCTGCGACCCAATGATCATCTGAGGATATAAATACCTTATTCTTAATCCTAAACCAATTAGGATTCCTTAGAAGCTTCTAGAGTCGAAGGTTCTAATTTATCCTTTTTTAAAAGATAAAGATCAAGAGTTAATTGAATAAAATTTCTTTTTGTGATAAGCCTTGTTCTATTTGAATTTAAACACGTTCAGATATGATTTTCGTGGCTCATATTTTTTATCGATATATTAGATGGTTGGATAGCCCTTGAAATTATCTTTTCAATGATATATCATAATCCTAATTCCGAGCTATAACGGAAAAGATATGAATGAAATATCAAACTTTATCCAAAACTAACACTGTCCCACTATTTCAATCATATCTTTTATTCTACAAAATATATCAATCTGATTCCAATTGGGTTGTAAATTAGACTTCTAGAGCTTTCCAACAATATATTATTTATCTTATTCTGATTTCTAGATCAAAAGATATGATAAAAACAAAAACCGCAAAACCTTTTGTCTATCGTGCAGCGATACCCCTATCACGCCGCGATAAAAAGTGTTTTATTCTGATTTGAATTCTGTCTCTTTTCTGAATATTTGACCCTGTTTTTCTTCTATAAATAGAGGTCGTATCACCCCGTTTTCGATCACAAACAATCATCATCAATACCCTCTCTAATACTTTCTCTCTCTCTCTCTCTCTCTCTCTCTCTCTCTCTTTCATGATCTTAGCCTAGCCTAAACACATCCAAAAACACATCCTTGTTACTCTCCCCATACAGTCACCATACCTCATTAATGAGGCTTGAATACTCCTAGCCATCCTCGACGTTGTCTTTGACCTCGACATGAAAAGTTGATAGTTCAGAGGGTTTTGGTCTCAAATCTATATTTCAATTCATGTTTGGTTTATTTACTTTCTTAATTTATTCTTTCTTGAAGTTTACTAACGTGTGGATTATTTTAATAGCAAGAAAGGCGAGACATCAAGGTGAATAAATCTACTATCTTATTCTTAGATTTTGGAGTAGAAATCATGCTTTGAATATTATTTTAATTCCTATTATCATGTTAGAATGTTTATTACGGTTTCTAGAATCATGTTTAGGATGTCTTTATGATTTCTAGTATCACGTTTAGGTTAAATCTTTGATTTTGGTTATTAGTGACATGCTAGGATTTGTTATTAATTTGTTTAGTATTATCCCTAGTATCTTACTAACGATGTTTTTATGATTTTGATTATGATGATGATTGTTGTGTCAATTATATATTGTTTGAATATTCATGATTTATTGTTATTGCTTGATCACGCTCCCTTTTTGCAGGTTTAAAAGAAATTTGTACTTGAAATCATGCCTAATAAAATAGTTAATAATTTGATTTAGGCTAATATGAGTTTAGTTCAAGTGATAACCAATAATAGATTTAACTGTGCATTAATAATCAACCAACGTAGATTAAATATGCTTAGGATTAATTTTATGTACGTACGTCGATCGAAAAGCGCACATGAATATCATAAGAATTAAGTAGAGGCCGATTTAGGGCGGGTTTAATTTTAAATGGTGCCTAAACTATTGATGACTAAGCAAGGTCCCTAAACTATTTAGCCGGAAATAATACTCCTTGGTGGCTGAGGGACCAAATTGCCTCACTGAATAGTTTAGGGACTAAAATACTATAAATACGCTAGTTTAGGGACAATATTTGACATTAACTCTGAAAAAACCGGATATTTTTTAAAACTTTGCCACATTCCAACCTCATGACCATAAATTTTTGCAAAAATAATATTATCCTTATCAAACTTCACACCCAGCATGTTCCTCGTAACAAACTGATCATATCTTTAATAATTGTTGTTGTAAACCTCGCAAATAAAGGTTTTCTTACAAGCGGTGGTAACACAATTCAACAACTACCATACCACCCAAAAATAATCACAAAACACGTCATTTAACTCGGTTTACTTCTATTTTATTTTTATTTAAAAAAAAAAAAAAAGAAAAGATAAAAATAAAAATAAATTAAATATAAGTCGGTTTACTTCTTTCGCTCGACCATCCTCATCACAGTATCTCCCCTGATCCTATAAAACTGTATACAACAACACAATAACCCCTCAAAATTTCACAATAAAATCAAATAAACTACTCAAATTTACAACAAAAGAAAAAAACAATGGAGTTTCGAACCTTAGATTTAACCGTTCTTTCAGCAAACGATCTGAATCGAGTGAACTTGTTCTCAAAAATGGACGTATACGTCGTAGTTTCCGTCATCAACTCCGCTGTCAACCGTCGTTCAACCGCCCTCAAACAACGAACACCAATCGACAAGAAAGGGGACAAGAATCCATCATGGAATTACCCGATTAATTTCACAATAAACGATGCTGCTGCGATGCATAACCGCCTCACTATCCGGTTCCAAGTTTTCTCCAAACGCATATTTCCAGGCGATAAGCTGATCGGTGAAGTACTCGTGCCAGTTTCGGAGCTTTTATCAAGTCATGGTGACCGAAAACAAGCGAGTTCTTTGAGTTATCAATTGAGGAAGGTGTCTGGAAAACCGAAAGGTGTGTTGAATTTTTCGTATAAGTTTGGTGAGAAGTTTACTGCTGGTGGTGGAGTTGGAGAAGGTTTTACGGTTGGCGGGACGGGGCCAACTACGTATTACTCGTACCCGCCACCGCAGCAGCAGCCAATGTGGGGACAACCTGTGTCGGGGTATCCTGCACAACCGCCTACGGCGTATCCGTATCAAGGACATGGACACGGGTACGGGTATGGACACGGATATCCGTCGCAAACGCAATCGATGGGTATAAGGAGGAATAATAATTTTGGGATGGGTATGGGTGCTGGGTTGTTGGGTGGTGCTTTGGCTGGGATGGTGATTGGTGATTTGGTTTCTGATGGTGGGTATGATGGCGGTTTTGATGGTGGGTATGATGGCGGTTTCGACGGTGGTTTCGATTTTTAGTACGGACCTTAATTGTTGAAACACTATGTATGGTTTTAGATGAATTTTATAATTTTATGGATAATGGAATATTTGTTTCCCATACTCAATATGTATATAATAAAACTTAAAGCTATAAAGCCATTAATGCAATATTTTTTTATTTTTTATTTTTATTAGAAGCCATTAAAGTGTATTTTATGAATCAATGTCTTTGTTTTAGGAAAGTGTTAAAGCATGTATATTTATGATTAGTTCTTGTTGCATTTATGAAAATCACAGTGACGACCTTTTATTAGATAAGTTAATCAATTTAATTGATGATGTTGAAGCTTTAAGAGTTTTGATGATGATGAATAAAGTATACTTCAACTAATGCGATTTCTCTTAAGTGTTGTAATTAGAACATGTAAAGTTGACTTTGGAAGTGGAAGAGTAATCTGACTATGAAGACACAAGGAGACTCCAAGGAAAGTTAAATAAATTAGAAAAAGAGTTCCTTAGTGGAACTAATTGAGTTCTCTAACAGGAACATGAAGAGAAGCTCTCTAGCAGGAGGTTGAAAGCAAGTTGAGAAGTTTGACTTGGTCTGCGTTGAAGACAACAACTTCTATAAGAACTTGGCCTGAGAGGTTTTAGCAAGGAGCTGGAGAGTGAAGGACAACAGGAAGAAATGTTGGTCTGCGTGAAGCCCAAATATCCTAAACAATACAACCTATGATTAGATACTCTAGCTAGAGTATATAAATCTTTTTGTTGTGTTTATTTATAGAAGGATTATTGTTAATATGTTAGGTTAGTTTATGCATGGAATTTATTAGAGGCATGACAAAATTTGGCAAGCTTTATAAATGGAAAGTTTATAAAAGATAAGTTTTAATTTATGAAAAGATTTTCTAAAGATTTTATTATATAATTTCCGATTTTACAAATCATTATTCTTTTCATAAATTATATCTTTGATATGTTTTCTAAAAAGATTTTCTTTACAATGATTTACATAAAAACGCGTTTTATGAAATTGGAAGTTTTATAATTTCTATCTTTTTGAAAACCCTACTTTACGTACGAGTACCTCTTCTATATAAAGTAGAATTCATAATTTACACAACTTGTGAGTTTATAGGTGAAGAATCTGAAGAGAGCTCTAAAGTGTAAGTTTGCCAAGTCGAAGCTTTGTCATATTAGTTTCGGATTCAATGTGTAGCTTTCCTATCACATATTAGAGTCATAGTGTTTGTATTATTTTGGTTTGGGTGAGTGCTTAGCCTATTGCATTCAGATTGTAGGCTTCTAGATTGAAGCTGAGAGAGTAAACACTTAGGGAGTGTCGAGTAGAATCTAAGTCCAGGACTTAGATAGGGTAGGATAGGGTCCTATTGTGTTGCAAGTTCAGTTTGGAACTTGTGAGTAAAGGTCTGATTATAATAGGTTGTAACTAGGAGAGTTTGCCCTATTATAGTCGATTGTTTTAGTGTTTGAAGTCCCTTGGAGGGTCGAGGTTTTACTTCCAGTTAACCCTTGGAAGGTTTCCTCGTAAAATCTTGTGTGCTTTGCTAAGTTCCTTTTATATTGTGTTAATTCCGCAAAAGTTGTCAATAGGAACTCAAATACAATTCACCCCCCCCCCTCTTGTAGTGTTCATCTCAACTAACAATTGGTATCAGATCACGGTTCTCTCGTTTAAGAAAATAACTTTACCGAGTAAGTTCCTGAGGAGAGATGAATTATAAAGAGAAGCTTGAAGAAGGGTACTCTACCCAACGTCCACCTATGTTCAATGGTAAGTTCTATACCTACTGGAAGAATAGGATGGAGATATTCATCAAGGCTGAAAATTACTAGGTTTGGCGCGTTATTGAGTCTGGTGATTTTGAGGTAACCAAAACTAATGAGAAAAATGAGGTAGTTCCTAAACCTTTATCTGATTTTGAAAAAGAGGATTTTCAAAAATATGAATTGAATGCTTTAGCTATTAATTGTTGCACTGTGGACTTGGACCCCATGAGCACAAAAAATCATGGGATGCAAGTCTGCTAAGAAAATATGGGATCTACTTGAAGTTACTCATGAAGGTATAAATGAGGTAAAACGTTCTAAAATTGACTTATTGATGTCTAAATATGAAAAATGCTACCTAAGCAAACCATAAAAGAAATGTTTACTAGATATAATGATATAATTAATGAGTTGGATTCCCTTGACAGGCATATCCCTATAGATGAACAGGCTCGAAAAGTGTTAAGGAGTCTTCCTCAAGATGAACGTTGGAGATCTAAGGTGATAGCATTGCAAGAAACCAAGGAGTTCACAAAGTTCAACATGGAACAGCTGGTTGGATCATTGATGACTCTTGAACTTCACTTAGGTTCCAATGCTAAAAGTTCCAAGAACAAGAGTCTTGCTCTGAAAGCTCAAGACTCGGATGAATCTAAAGTTGATGAAGATGAGATGGGCATGCTAGTGAGAAGATTCAAGAAGATGATGGGCAACAGGAAGTTTGATAGGAACAAGAAATTTTCAAGTTCCAAAGAGACTACCTGTTTCAAGTGTGGTTCAAATCATCACTTTATTAGAGACTGTCCTCTAAAGGAAATTGATCGATAAAAGTTCAAAGGCAAGGACCAAGCTAAGGAGTTCAAGGCCTACAAGCCATAATTTTTAAAGTAGAATATGAGAAAGGCCATGATAACTGCCTGGGGAGACTTGGATTCAGAAGAAGAAGAAAAACAACCCTCAGAAGAATCAGCACACTTGTGTCTGATGGCCAAAACAGATAAAAAAAGGCCAAATCAAAGGAGCTAGAGGCTGAGGTATGGTTTACTTATAATGAATTAAGACATTTATCTAAAGAAAAACTAATTGATGCTGTTTTGGAAGTTCAAGGTGATGTAATGGATCTTTCTGTTGAAAAAGCACAAAGTGACAAGGCACTTAAAACTTACAAAGAACACAGTGAATGGATAGATAATATGAAATTTGATTTTCAACAGAGATTCTTTGACTTGTTTGATGATCATGTGAAGCTAAAAGAAACCGTTGAACGTTTAAAACATGATAACATACCTATGAACGTGGAACTCTCCTTGTTAAAACTTAGTAGTGCTACCCTAACTCTGAAGTTCCTCTTCTTGATTAATATCCAAATTTTGAAAAATTAAAATTTGATTTAGAAGAAATGAAATTGGATAAAGCAAGACTTGAGGGGGAACTTGAACGAGCTAGGAAGGGCAAGCAACCCATAGAGTACACTATACCTGAATGGATAGCTAATGCTCAAGCTAAAAGAACAGAAGGTCTTGGGTACAAGAAGAAGTTCTAGAAAGAAAAGAAGTATGTTAACTTGCCATGTAGCATTGTCTGTTATTTCTATAATAAGACAGAACATAAGCAAAATAATTGTCCTAAGAAAGAAAAGAGCACTCTCAAGAATGAAAATCATGTTAGATAGATATGGGTTAGGAAATCTGATTTTGCATTTGTTACACAGGAACCCAAGAACACCATAGCAAAATGGAGTGGTGGAATGCAAGAACAGAAGCCTTGAGGATATGGCTAGGACAATGCGGATTTCCAGTGGTTTACCTAGGAACTTCTAGGCAGAACTAGTGAATACAGCATGCTATATACTAAATATAGTCACTGTTAGAGCCATCACCAACAAGACTCCATATGAGCTTATGAAAGGGAGAAAGCCTAATATTTCTTACTTTAGATCTTTTGGTTATAGATGTTTTGTTCATAATAATGGTAAAAGAAACTTGGGGAAGTTTGATAAGCGAAGTGATGAGGCTATATTCTTAGGATATGCCTCAAATAGTAAAGCTTATAGAGTTTATAATAAAAGAACAATGCGTGTTTAAGAATCTGTACGTGTTATTTTTAATGAAACTGAACAATTGATTGATGTATGGGAAGGTGATGATGATTTTGAAATTGGACTTGTGCGAAAGTATGATCCAGATGAGGAATCAACACCATTGCAAAAGCAGCACTCTAAAAAGGAAGGTGAAGCGAATGATGAAGCAAATGAAGAGCAAACAACAAAGGAAGCACAAGGAACTATAAACCAGAATCAAGAACAATTGCAAGTGGAAGTTCCTGTAGAAGTTCAAGCTGAAACTCAAGAAGAAGTTCCAACTGAAGTACCAGTCAACAATGCTACACAAGAGAGGTTATATCCCATCAGAGACATTCAACCTAAGTGTTGGAAGAATTAGAAGTCATATCCAGTGGAAGCAATTATAAGTGATATTGCTAAAGGAACTCAGACCAGACCTCATCTTAGGAACTTTATGCGTTCTTATCCTCCATGGAACCTAAGAAGCATGTTAAAGCTTTGACTAATGCAGACTGGATTAATGCTATGCAGGCTGAATTGAACACGTTTGAAAGAAACAAAGTTTGGCATCTAGAACCTAGACCAAGTCATCAAAAGACTACAGGTCTCAAATGGGTTTACAGGAACAAACTAGATGAGCATGGTATTATTGTCATAAACAAGGCAAGACTAGTGGTTCAAGGATTCAATCAACAAGAAGGAATCAACTATGATGAAACATTTGCTCCAGTAGCAAGGTTAGAGGTTATTCACTTACTCATAGCTTTTGCTTCTTATATGGGTTTTTGGTTGTACCAGATGGACGTCAAGTGTGCTTTTCTAAATGGATTCCTTGAAGAAGACGTCTATGTGGAACAACCTCTTGGATTTGAAAATCCAGAGTTTCCAAACCATGTTTACAAGCTTGATAAAGCCCTTTATGGACTAAAGCAAGCTCCTATAGCATGGTATGAAAGGTTGTCCAAGTTCCTTTTGGACAATGGTTTTAAACGCGGTAAAATTGATAAAACTTTGTTTTTAAAATCAAAAGAAACTGACATCTTAGTTGTACAGATTTATGTTGATGATATATTATTTGGTGCAACTACTGAATCTTTGTGTAAGTATTTTGATGACCTCATAAAAAGGAGAATTTGAAATGAGTATGATGGGTAAGTTAAATTTCTTTCTTAGTTTGCAAATTAAGCAAACTGAAGAAGGGATCATGATCCATCAACAAAAGCACAAAAAGGAACTGATCAAGAAATACAAGCTTGAAAATGCTAAGAACAATAGAACTCCTATGGGTGTTGTAACTAAGCTTGATGAAGACTTATCTGGAACTTGCATAGATCAAACTATATACCGAGGTATGATTGGCTCTCTACTTTACTTAACAGCTAGTAGACCTGACATATCTTTTAGTGTAGGTCTGTGTTCCAGGTGCCAAGCAAACCCAAAGCAGTCACACCTGATAGCTGTAAAAAGAATCCTTCGTTACTTAAAAGGAACTAATGACTTGGGTCTCTTCTATTCTAGGAGTGACTCATTTGAATTAAATGGTTTTTACTGACGCTGACTATGCAGGTGACTTGGTCAATAGAAACAGCACTTCAGGTATGGTACAGTTTTTAGGACTGTGTTTAGTATCTTGGGGTTCCAAGAAACAAAACACAGTTGCATTATCTACAGCTGAAGCTGAATATATAGCTGCAGCAGCATGATGTTCTCAAATGTTATGGATAAAGTAACAGGTTAGAGATTTTGGTATTTTATTTTAATGTGTTCCTATTTACTGTGATAATACCAATGCTATATGTATTTCTAAAGATCTAGTTTAACACTCAAAGGTCAAGCACATCCAAATTAGGCATCACTTCCTAAAGGATAATGTGGAGGAAGGGAATATTAAGTTAGAATTTTGTCAAACTGAAAATCAAATTGCAAATATTCTAACCAAGCCCTTGAACAGAGAAAGATTTGAGAAATTAAGATTGGAACTTGGGATGATCAAGCTGGCTTGATTGTTTCTGAAGTTCCAAAATATATGGCAAAATCAGAAATAATGTAAAAAGAGCAAAAAGGACATCTAGCACAACCTTCGTGTTCTAAACATAGCTGAAGTGTCACTGTTTGTGAATTCTTGGAGGTTAGTTCACTAACACTTAAATGCGTGTGTGAGGAAGGTGTGCCTGTCGTAGGGGATCCTTCTCCTCTATGCCCAAAACCCTTTAAGAGCCTAGGACTTTGCACTTTTATAAGGTGTGTTAGGATTTGAATTGTTGATTATTTGGGAGACCTTTGAATTAGAGTTGATCCTATCACTATGCTTTTTTGTAAGAAACTAGTAAGGAGTCGCCAATGAGTTTTAAGAAGATCCATGAACCTCGTTCATGCCTTTCTCCCAAGTAGGGTTTAAGGGATATTTAACATGAATCATAAGTTTACCCATGCCCAAATTGGTCTACTTAACCAGTTCGGGAGCGAAGGTACTAAAATAACGTTCCCTTTAGGGGGGAATCGCTATTCTAGCCCTAGTGCGGCCTCTACTAGCTCTTCCTTTTTCACAATTTCATCACAAAACAATATATAGAATTTGATACCTAAAACTATGTTATTTGATTTTATTTACACACGTTAATCACATAGGAATTACATTACAACAAATGTCGTTATTCTTATTTATTCAAATTTGTGGAAGAACAAAAGTAAACAAGATTCGCCTTGGCTTATGTGATAAAACAATCAATTAATTATTCAAATTCTAGTATTTAATTAACGCAAGAATACTACGTGAAATAAATAATTAAAGTTTGTTTAAAATCATCAAACAGCACTAATTAATCAATTAAAATTATTTAAACAAGAAAAGAAAAGTGATTTATCTAAGTGCTTAGGAAACTAACCGCTCTACTTTGTATGCTTAGGTCTCCGTCTTACGTGTTTATGGACCTTCTTTCTTCTTCGTACCTCCAAAGACTTGAAATAGATGGATTAGGGTTGAAGAGTATTTAGGAAGAAAGGAGAAAAGTAGTATGATAGTAAGAGGGATTGAGAGATTAGGGATTTTAGAATTTAGGGTTTATAATTCTAATTTTTCTGTTGTCATTAGGGTTAAACGAAGACCCCTATTTATAGGCATAGGAATCTAGGTTTAGGGTTTTAGAGCCGCGGCGTCAGGTGGCGCACGCAACTCTTTGACTTGCGCTTGGCAGGCGCACGAAACCCTAAGAGTTGCGCACGGTGCGGGTTACCTTATACGAAAATGCGTTTTTAAAACATCCACAACTTTTGATTGCAAAGTCGGATTAAGGCATATAAGATATCATTGGAAAGATCTGAATGTCTCATTTATAATGATGTTTTAATTAGGTTAAAATATATTATGGATCAAAAGATATGTCTGTTTGAGAGCAAGGGTGTCGGTTTTAGGGCCCGGTTTAGTATTTTGATGATAACTTCTTCGTTTTAACTCTGTATTGGGCTTATAATATACCGTTGTAAAGATATTTTAAAGGGCTATCCATCTGTATAGGCTTTACATGGAAATTTGATGGTCGGTTTATCTAATTGGCTTGGTTTTCAACAATGTAAGATCTATTGAATCCAATTGTTGCATTTGACGCATTTGGGTTCGTATGAGCACGTTTTAGGCCTAATTAGTAATTGGACAAGGCTACAAGATTACTTGGTCTCAAATACGGGTTTTAACTTAATTTATAATGCATTTCGGAGTCCATAAATACTTCAACTTTGATCTAGCATGAAGAACGAGTTTTTTTAACATCATCGCACTTCCCATCGGGACAGGGGGCCAAAAGTAGGTGTCTACTACATGTATAATTAGTAATGTACATTTTATATGTGTAGAAAGCATGTTCCAAATATATCTTATTTTTGTAAAATTTTATTTTTGGAAATTAATTGAATTTGGAAAGAAAATATTTTGTTAAAAAATTCATCTTGATTACTTTTGAAAAATAAAATGAATATGTTTTATTAATGAGTGAACAGTAAGTTTATTCGTATCCCTCACACCGCTTCATTAATTATAAAAGCAACTCCCACCCACTTTCTTACTCCACTGTCAAATTAAATAAACCACTCTCTGTAAAAACCATCAAACTCTCTCAAAACACTTTAACCTTGCAAAGCATAGGGACTGAAACCTCGAAAAACTCAACCAAGAAAATTCCAACACCACAAACCTCTGAACCTGAAGAGACATCACCTCTTTCTATGGTGGTATATGTAGCCCCAGACAAGGAAGACGAAGTTCCTAAAATACCCACACCGACCACCTCAACCACCAAGAAAAACCCTAAGGATAAGGAGAAAAATTCTAGAGGTGGTGAAGCGTCATCTTCATCAAATGTACTTTAAAGACTTCAAGAGTGGAAAGATAAAAAAGCCGAGGAGAAATATCTTGAAGAACACATCAAAGAGGTAGAGGATTTTGCTAAGGGGGAAGTGCAATCAAAAACTGAGGATGTCCTATGGAGGAGGACAAGGTTTTGGAAGATGTTGAAAAGTACGCCGACAGGTATGTTGTTGGTCACAAACTTGATCTTACATGGTGTAGAAAATCTAGGTTTATAGAATTTCTTGATTTTTTGCGTTTTCAAGGTTGGTAACAGATGTTGTCTAAAGCGTCTAAATAATGTCATGTATCCAATTTCTATGAATGAATTTTGCAAGAATTTTAAGATGAAACAAGGAATTATTTTGAGTACAGTGAATGATGTTCCAATTGAGTTTGATATTGTGAGATTGGGAACTATTCTGAAATAAAGTTCCTACAGAAGGGTATGAAGCTTACATAAAGGGAAAATCTAGGGTGAAGGTAGGAAACAATCTGCGGGGAGACATTATTAAGTTTTTGGGATGCAAAAGGGGAATAAATATCACGAATCAACAATTTAAGTCCCATGAATTAATTGTTGTTTAATCTGGTTAGGAAAACAATTTTTCCGAGAATTCAAAAGAAGAATGAAGCTAGTTTGTTAGATATGACTGTGATTTTCTACTTGTTGAAAAAGATAAAAATCAATTTCCCATCCCTGATGTATCAACATTTAGCACACTACGTTCCTAATAAGAACAAAGTGGGCTATGGAGCTTTGCTATCCACTGTGTTTGAAAGCTTGGGTGTGAAGCTTAAGGGAGAGCATGGGGGATTGAAAGAAATATCTGAAAAATTTCATCAATGAGGAAACTCTGCAAAGGAATTAGTCTAGTTGTGGTTGGAGGAAAGAAAGAAAAGATTGAGGAAAAGAAAGGCACAGCTAGTGGGAAGAAGATAGATGCGTCTAGTGAGCCTGTCAGGAAGAGTAGAAGGCTTAAAACAAGTTCCTTTCCTCAAACCAGTATGGAGAAGCAATTAGAAGTAGAAACTGATGAAAATGTGGTGACATGGCAAATTGCAGAACTTGCTGACACAGCTGACCTTGCACAGAAACAACTAACGGAGGCAAATGGGAAAATTCAGAAGCTAGAGAGGAGCATTCTGGGTCTTGAGAAGAGTCTAAAGGAACAGAAGGTGGAGTTCTAGAAGACCATAAAGAGTCTAGAAGCAAAGCTGGATGAAAGCATTGAGTAGTACCAAGAGGATAACAAGAAGTATCTAGCAATTCTGGAGGAATGGACCAGCCTACCTTTCTTAGCCTTTTCCTAGCCTAACCTAACCATTAGCCATTTCCTATTTCATCTGTTTATGTCATAAACAATTTTATATTGGTTTGTTTTGAAAACTTTGTTATGTAACTTCTTAAACAAGATGATCTTTTGGTTTTATATGCTATTTTGGAACTTTACCTATACATGTGTGCTTTGTGCTTTATGAAAGTATGTGCAGGATTGTATGATGGGACTAGCTAAAGGGAGCTAGCTAGCGTTGCCTTTAGTTTCCCACACTCAATGAATTGCTTGTGAGGCTGTGACTAGATGTTTAATAACTTCAATTACAGGACTTTTTGATAATGCCAAAGGGGAAAAGAAGAAGCAAACTTGAAAGTGGAAGTTGTTTTGGGTTCCAGTTGATAAAGTATCAAATAATTTCTCTGATGATGCTATGTATAAAGTAGTTTAGTTCTGTTTTTGTTTATTTTTGTTCTAAGTTTTTTTTTCTGCTTTAGTTTTGTGTGTGTTTATATTTTTCTTGTTAAAAAAAAAACAAAAAAAAACAAAAATATGTCCTTTGATTCTATTTAACTTTCCTGCTAGAAATTTGCTAAGTTTGTCATCATCAAAAAGGGGGAAATTGTTGAAGCTTAAGAATTTGACGATGATGAATAAAATAATACTTCAACTAATGCGATTTCTCTAAGTGTTATAAATAGAACAGGTGAAGTTGACTTTGGAAGTTGAAGAGTAATCTGACTATGAAGACACAAGGATCGGAGACTCTAAGGAATGTTAAAAAAGTAGAAGAAGAGTTCCTTAGTGGAACTAAGTGAGTTCCCTAATAGGAACATAAAGAGAAGCTCTCTAGCAAGAGCTTGACAACATGTTGAGAAGTTTGACTTGGTCTGCGTTGAAGACAACAAGTTCTATAAGAACTTGTCCTGTGAGGTTCCAGCAAGGAGCTGGAGAGTGATGGACAACAGGAACTCAATCCTGGTCTGCGTGAAGCCCAAGTATCCTAAACAATACATCGTACGATGAGATAATCCAGCTAGAGTATGTAAGTCTTTTTTGTTAAGTTTACTTATCGAAGGATTATTGC